CCCCCCCCCAAAAAAAAACAGAAGCGCCTAAACAGAACGCTATGCCCACAATTACCCACTGTTGATCCAGAAGAAGGCAAAAAAAAAACCTGTTTCTAGAAGTCTTTCAGGACAGCACGTGACAGCATGACGCCACCCCCAGGAAACACAAACACATGAGGCCTTTAAAAGGTGGTCCCTCAGAAAGCCAGTCAGTATTTAGCCGAGAACCCGGAAGGAAACTGAAAAGACAAATAACATACCAAATAGAGAGGGAACCCTACTGTCCTGGAAAGACATTTAGAAACAATGTTACAGGTAAGTCCAACTCCTATTTTGTCTTGTCTTTAAAGGACAGCACAAGAGGATAAGTGAGAAACTTACCCGTTAGGGTGGGACCACCATCGGAAAGACCTTTGTCCCAAAAGCTTGATCCTGAGCTGAGAGGAGGCCCAACCGATAATGTCGACAGAAGGTGCGGTAGTTATACCAGGTGGTAGCATGGCAGATTTGTTCTGGAGTGGCCCCGGCCCGCTCCACCCAGGAGGTGGCTAAGGCTCTGGTTGAATGAGCCAAAAAGGTGCAAACCTCCCCCATTGCTGTATAAGCTGAAGCAATAGTTTGCCTAATCCATCTAGCAAAAGTGTCTGAGGCCTACAAGCCCTTTTTTCCTGTATGCAAAACAAAAAAAGTGCTTTGGATTTCCTAAAGCCTTTGGTAAAATCCAAATACTTCAAAACTGCGTTTCAAACATCTAAAAAATGAAACTCCTGGAACAGAAAGATGGTAATGCAATGTCCTTGGATCTATGAAAACTGGAGGGGACCTTGGGCAAAAAACCCAGGACAGTTTAAGATCAATCTATCCTCAAAAACTTGAAAATAAGGTTCTCGAATAGAGCCTGGATCTTGCTTACCCTACAAGCAGTGCAAGTACTGAGTATCTGTGGAAGACCAGAGATGCTCACAAAGGAGGTTTGAGCAAGCCCTGCAAAACAATACACAAGTCCCATTTAGGAACAATGTTTACCAGTAAGGGCCTTAACGTCTGGCTACTAGATGGAGTGCCAGCCTGCTATCCTGATAAGCACTAAGCCAAAATTTGTGCCTTCAGAGCACTAATGGCCAAGCCTTTTTCTACTCCATCCTGAAGAAACTCTAGGAAAGATGGGATATCCTTGGATCTTTGGTTATCTGAACACCAAGAATTGAAAACCTTCCAGGTCTTGGCGTAAATTGCCCTTGCAATCTTTTTCCTACTGGATAAAAAAAAAAAAAAGGAGTAGCAATAACCCTGTCAGACAGACCCTTACTTCTCACCAGCCCTTCCTCAGAAGCAAAGCTGCCAGCTTCAACCTTGCCACATGACGATAAAGGACAGGGCCCTGGCTGAGCAAGTCCTGACTCAAAAGGAAGGAACCAAGGTGGTTCTACTGCCCCACTGTTGCAGGATTGAAAGCCAAGGCCTCTTGGGCCAAAAAGGGAGCATGTGCTAACGCATCCATCAATTTGGGACCTCTTCCCTTCTGGACAGAGAACAGTTTTACCTTTGCATTTGATGGGGAGGCAAAATCGGTCCACTTGGGGCTTGCCTCATTTTCTTGTTATTGACATAGACATCTTGGTTTAAACACCACTCCGAATCCCTGACCCGATGGCAACTCAAGAAATCCACGATGAATGGCCGAGACTGGAGATGTACCTCTCTGCCCAAACGGAAATCTAACATGCCAACAGACAAAGGGAAGGACAATCTGAAGATGGTGACCCCTGAGATCCTGATGGAAAACCTGAAAGGCTTCCCAGACTGCCCACAGTTCCCTCCAATTAAAGGATCTGCTTGCCTACTTCCTTGACCAGACTCCCCGGGTTGCCTGATGATCCAGATGGGCACCCCAACTCCAGGCACTTGCATCCAACAAGAGTTCTGCCAAGAGATTTGACTGTCCTCCACCACCAGAGCATTTTATCCTAAGAGGGAGAAGGACGAGCCTGTCCAGCAAAAATACGGCTTTAAACCCAAATACAGAGAACTTAATTTTGGAGAAATATCATGTGGAGCTTTGCCCACTGCAGCACTGGTTCACTACGCAACGGAATCAGTATTGCTCAACTCAGCCAGCGAATCATCCTCCTCTGTTACTGAATCTTTAACCGCCGCTTGGGGAATCGGGACAGAAGGCACAAACTGTGTGGCTCTGAGGCCTGAAAGTAAGGTTCTGAAGGAGTAAAAAGATAATTCCTCCTTTAATGTAGCCACAAGATCCTTACAAGAACCAGAGGATTCTTCCTGAACCAACTTCTCTATGCATTTCTGGCACAGCAGTTTTCTGCAAGGGCTACTTAGCTTAATACTGCATGAAGCATACTTTAGGAGGTTTTATATTTTTACAGACCCTGGGACAAAAAAAATAAAAAAAAATAGAAAATAATTCTCCGCTCCAATCTCACAGATGTCCTCCAATGGTGTAATCAGACCAGCAGACAGATCTGTATATCAATTTAGTAGGAAAACGATAACTTCCAATCTTTATCAATCTGTAGGCCTCCTCAGTATAGGATGTCAATACCAGGATCGTGTTATCCAAAAGAAAGCAAACACCATAGCGCGTACCATTCAAACGAAGTATGATTTATTAAAAGAAAATGATTCACTTAAAAGCAGTGGTAACATAGCATGGACGTTCTTAGGATTCTGTGCAGGAGTTTCAAATGCGTGCGGCCATAAGTCAGAGATCATTTTTACGTCAGATGCTCAGCCCTATGCGCATTACGTCCAGTGTGACTTCCATCAGGGATCAGGAGCATCTGGCGTTCTAGATCACACACATACATACATACATACATACATACATATATGCGCACACACACATTAGGGCTGCGGAAATAAACGATTAATCCTTTGATTAATCGTTAATTCTTTTGATCAGTACTCACCTCTCTGCCGGATTCCGTCGGAGATCCGGTGACGTCACGGACATAGACGTTACCGGACTCCTCCCCCTTCCCCCAAGTGGCTCTGTCGGCCAACAAAGGGAAGGGGGAGGAGTGCGGTGACGTTGATGTCCGTGACGTCACCGGACTCTTCCCCCTTCCCTTCGTTAGCAATGGTACTTTACCATTGTATCTGTAACACTGGCGGAACTACCAGAATGTACAGGCGGCGCACGTGCCAGTGGGCGGGATCTGCCTGTGCAACGAAAGGCAGCTGGATCATGTAATGGTTTCCTGTTGTGACGGGCTCTGTTCTCCTATTTTCCCCTCCCACTATGTAAGCAACTTGTTCTTTTATCTCTGTGGCGGTATTGTGTCTATCTAGCATCTAACCGAAGGTACACATCTCATACTTATACTGATCCTGCTGAATGTGCCAGTCATTATTTATACTTCTATAAGTGTTTTGCCGGGAATATTACGTCACTATGACGTCAGAGGGTGTGCTGATTGGTGGTTTATGCATCTGTATGTCTATTATGCATCTGTATGTCTATTTATAGTAACAGTATGGATTGACCATAATATATAAAGTATGCACCTATATACACTATGCGTACAAGCTGTAGAAAAGGCGATTTGTAAATTGATAATTTGGATATGAGCAATACCCCACGTAAGAGTTTGTTGGATTTTTTTTTTTCAGATTGTATAAGAGGTTTGCCCAAGAAACTTTCTGTACGAGCGCCAGCCAAGGCGTGTATGTGTATGCGCATGCACACACACACACCAGATTATGACCACACCATCAGTACTTCGTTGGGCCACCTTTTGCCTTCAATACTGCGGCGATTCTTCTTGGCATTGACTCCACGAGATGTTGAAAGGTGATGCGAGGAATCTGACACCATGCCTGATGAATAGCACTGTCCAGTTCTGTGAGATTTGATGGTTGTGGAACCAGCTGCCTGATGGCTCTTTCAACTTTGTCCCACAAATGCTCAATTGGATTGAGATTTGGCGATTGTGGGGGCCACCTAAGCAAGGTAAATTCTCACTCATGTTCTTGAAACCACTCATGCACAATACGAGCACCGTGGCATGGCGCATTGTCTTGTTGGAAGAAGCCATTTCCATAGGGATACGCCATCAACATGATGAACTTGATCAACAACGATACTTTGGTATGTTGTGCTATTCAGACGTTGTTCTACACCAATTAAAGGGCCCAAAACATGCCCCAAACCATAAGACTGCCCCCACCAGCTTGAAGGGTTGTACTCATGCATGTGGGGTGCATGCTTTCATGCTGTTTCCGCCAAATTCTCGCTCTGCCATCTGCATGATGCAACCGGAAACGTGATTCATCGGACCACATAACTTTTTTGCAATGCTCGACTGTCCAATCCTTGTGTTCCTGTGCAAATTGGAGACGTTTTATCTTGTTAACTGCAGACAGCAAAGGTGTTTGAACAGGCCTTTGGCTTCCATATCCCATACGATGCAGTGTACGGCGAACAGTGTGTCAGAGAGGATCCCTGATTAAGATCTGCAGTAATTTGATGCACTGTTGCCCTTCTGTTGTCTTGTACCAGTCTTGCCACACTCC